CGGGTGAAGGGGAAGGCATGTATGCGGAGGGTTGAAATTTGTAGCCAACGAGGAGACAGGGTTGCAGAATATATTTTAGCCACCCTCATCTCCCCGTTTGCAGGCGGTGTTTAAATAAAAAATAGTGAACGTTGATTCTGTATTTATTGACCCCCTGATGCCAATGAAACCCTCGGAGGTGACAGAAAAGGGGATAAAAAATTTTTCATTTTCACATGGGTCAAGGGTGNCCTCCTAGACAATGATGTCACAACTCTGCTGTTCAATTGAAAACAGACATCATCTTTAGAGACATTTGTCATGTTTAGAGACTCTAGCACGTCATTTCTCAACCCACTCTTTCATTTGAGCCCAAAAAAACATTCATATCTTTTCTGACATCGCTGCTACAAACTCGGGTTTTCAACTGAAAACCCTCGGGTCTCGGGTTTGACCCGAGTTTTTTTCTTGGAGGGGCAAGAGTGGCTAGAATAGATTCTGCAACCTTCTCCGCTTGTTGGATAAAAATGTCAAGTCTCCGCATACATGCATCTCCCCTCCACCCTCCCGTGAAATGTCGATTTTCGAGATTAAAAAAAAAACAATAATTGCATTTTTTATTTCAATAACGCATGAGTAAATAGGGATATGAACGCAGATTTAATATAGGCCCATAGAATTACGGGGACCGGCAAGGATTTGGAAAGTCTGAATGCAAGTCCTGCTTACACCTAACAAGTGCTGAAGTGGGACATAACCAGAGGTAGAAAGGTCTCGGAAGCACTTGGGAAGAGGCTTCCCAAGACCTATCCAGTTCTGAACGTAAAGACCTAAGTCGAACTTGTCAGGTCCAATTATTCGACTCGGGGTAATCCCACGAGCCGGAAAACACTTTTCCCACGAGTATCGAACGTTTTTTTTCATCACAATGCGTGGGAAAGGGACTTTTAGGCACGCGGAGCGTGCTCGAATCGACAAAGTGGAATAACTTTCTTAAAGTGTAGTAGCAGAATAATGAAATGAGAAAAAAATTATTCCCTGTCAAAAATCTCGTAACATGATCTGTCAGATTTTTTCCGAATTGCCCCCTGAAATTCTACCATTTCACTTTTGATGATTCCAGTTTCCGGGGATGTTATCGGATGCTTCGGCCTCACTGAACCCAACCATGGAAGCGATCCTGCTGGAATGGAAACTAGGGCTGTTTACGATGCTAGTAGAAAAGTTTACAAACTCAGTGGTAGCAAGACATGGTGGGTAAATTCGTAAAATAATGCAAATGGACTATTTTTTTTGATAACAGTTTAATGATTTTTTTCAGGATCACAAACTCGCCTGTTGCAGATGTACTCGTCATTTGGGCTAAAACTGACGACGGAAAAATTCGAGGATTTATAATAGAGAGAAAAGGCAATGAAGCTAAATTAAGTACTCCTAAAATTGAGGGGAAAGTGTCTTTACGGGCTTCTGCAACTGGAATGATCCTCATGGACGATGTCATTATTCCTGAAACCAATTTACTGCCCAACGTTTCTGGTCTTAAGGTAAATAAAACGGAATGAAAATAAATCTATCACTATTAATTAATGCAGTTGTGGAGAAACAGGAAAAGTCAATTTGAGTCGGGCGGTAGCTTTTCAGAAATATTTCGGAATTTTAAATAGATCTAAAATAGATAGATAAGGTAAATATCCCTGTGCTCATCTAGGTAAGGTATAAACATCGTGAAGATGTGATTTTTTACATTGGATATCAGGAAGTGAAACCATTTTCCTTAGATTCACGTGTGACAAAATTGAATTAAACAGCTCTGGCATTCATTATGAAATTGTATTGGCATTCTATCAGATATTCTATTCGTTTTTTACCGATTTCTGTTGAAAATTACACAATAATTATATGGTGAGAAATTTGGATAAAAATTAGCTCGAAAATCGTGACAAATTTTACTATACGAAAGGCAATTGTGGAGCGAAATGTAATTCAGTGATAAAATTCTGGCTTTTAGTGGATATCTTTCGATTTTCTCGGTAAAAAATATGTCGATGGATGCAAAAATTATCCTCCTGTTTAGTAAAGTTTCCTACACCGCAGGGGCTCGTTTGTTTTGAACCCGTCTGAAGGTCATGGGGACGGACGGAAGTGAATTTTTGCCAAACGGGTTCGGTAAAAATCATTCTCAGTTACAGAAACATTATACGAAAAATTGGAGCAATTATTCCTGTTTACTGGGATCATTTTTACTGGGATACAGGATAAATTTTACAGTTTCGGTACGAATCACCTTCATGTTTAGTAAATTTTCCCGGGCCAACGGAGTAAAATTCACTATTAACGTCGCACTTATTCTCCCATTTAAGCTGAAAAAGTTCAGAAAATGGAGGGTGCTCCACGATTACTTGATTTGTTTAGTAATTTTTCTTCAACTTTCTTCTCTGTGTATGAGCCACCCCTATCTCCGTCAAAATTCCGAGATATTTATGCAAAGTCTGGACATTTCTTTGAATTATTCCGTTTTATCACTCAATAATCCATAGATTCGTGTCTACAATTAACCAAATCACCGAGTTAATTAAATTTTATTCAGGGCCCATTTGCCTGTCTAAACCACGCACGTTACGGAATAGCATGGGGTGCCTTAGGTGCAGCGGAGCAATGTCTGAACCTTGCAAACACCTACGTGTTAGAGCGTAAGCAGTTCAACAGACCATTGGCAGCTAATCAATTGATACAGAAGAAATTAGCTGACATGATGACGGAAATAGCCATCGGTCTGCAGGGATGCCTGCGCGTTGGCCGGCTCAAGGACGAGGGCAAGTGAGTTATCTAGAGATGGAAAAAAAATTCAGTGAACATTTTGCGCCCTTTATCAAGGACGATATATTGATTCATGCATGGGGTTAATTGTTTCAGGGCTACGCCAGAGATGATATCAATGATAAAAAGAAATTCAGCTGCTAAAGCCATCAACATTGCCAGAGTTGCCAGGGATATGCTCGGGGGAAATGGAATTTCTGATGAGTATCATATTATCAGGCATATGGTTAATCTGGAATCAGTTATTACTTATGAAGGTAGAGTGATAATTAACGAAATACTTCAGTATTAACATTTAGACTCAATAAATTAGTTGTGAAGTGGTAAATAGTGAGAAATCCATCTTGCATTGCACTAGTGGGTAAAGTGCCCGGAGAGAAAAGTTGGAGAAAAATTACCTCGAAAATCGTGACAAATTTTATTGTACGAATGGTAATCGTGGAGCGAAATGTAATTCAGAGAAAAAATACTGGTTTTTAGTGGAGATCTTACGATTTTCTGAGTAAAAAAATTAATCGATTGATGCAAAGATTATTCTCCTGTTTAGTAAAATTTCCCACGCCGTCGGGGATTGTTTGGTTTGTACTCGACTGAAACGGGTTCGGTAAAAATCATTGGAGCAATTGGAATCATTAATTTGGATTTATTTATGGTAATTGAAATTTGAAAATTAATATAGTAATTGGAAATTTAATTTCTCAATTATTGGTTGATAAAATAGTTCGGGATTTGAAAATTTAAATTGACGGTTATTTTTCAAATAAAAAAATTGGTGAGTAATATTAACAATTGACTGAAAATTTAACTGTATTTCAAAATTTCGATTATGCCGATGTCTGCAAATCACCCTCACGTTTAGTCAATTTTCCCGGGACCACGGAGTAAAATTCACTATTATTCTCACACTTTTTCTCCTATTTAAGGTGTGGTACTGTACCTAAAAAGTACTGGAAAACAAGATTGCTCCACGTTTGCTCCACTTGTTTGGTAATTTTTCTTCAACTTTTTTCTCCGTGTGAGATTTCGAGTGAGAACTGCTCTTGTTTTGTCCTTTCGTCATTATGCCGTCATCATATGCGATAGATTATAATTTTTTTAGTGAAATATTGTCTCTCTGAGGAGTCATCAACTGGAATATATTTCAGAATGACATTCGGAAACGATTTCGAAATTTCGAATTTTCGACATTTTTTATTTTTTCGATTCTCGTGTATATTAAAGTGAGAAATGAATCGATCGAAATACGGATCCTCAGCTTCCTACGTATGGGTATTCTGAATATTTTCAGGCGTAATAATTTCAACGTGATTGGTCAGCTGAATTTTACCTTATGAATTTTTAAAGCTAAAAATCGTTTTTTGCCTTTTTTAAGCCGGTGTACTGATAGAATAATTCTCATGAATGTCATTTTTCAATTGGAGAACATTTCAGGAGAGACGAAAATTACCTGATGGTTCTCCAAAGAAAATATTTATTTTTCACATTTTCTTCAGAAATCCATTATTCCAAAAATAAAGACGCAAAAAACGTCGTAATTGACATTCACGAGGTACCACTTTGCAATTTAAAAAATGGAAACCCGTTTAAAAACCAACGATCCTCAACAGGGGATACCAGATTTTTTTGTCACTTAAGGAAAATGGGATCACCAATTTCACTGGACACTGGACACATACGAGGAAAATATTTATTTATACCCTCCGTGATCGAACCTTTTCTCTGCCTGTAATGTCTGCGCAAACGATTAACCAGCTTGTCACTCTGTTAATCCACCCTGACATAATAATAATCACAAATTCCCAAATTTACACTCGACCAATCTCAAAACAATAATTCAATTCTTCTGACGCAGGTACCGATGATATCCATGGTCTTATTCTCGGACGAGCTATTACTGGTATTCCAGCGTTCTCCAGTTGATGTTAATGTTTCATCAACTTTTCATCAGCCCCCGCAGTTTCATGTCTATTTATACTGAACTCCTGTGGCCAATTCGCACAAAAGAAAAAAAAATACTACTCCTGGATAGTCACAAAATCATGTCCAACGTATTTTTTTAATCATAAATAAATTAAGTTTAATTCCTAAGTAATAAAGCATTAATTACATTCTCAATTTCTTTGTTTTTTTTGTCTTTTAGTCAATTACAACACACATCTCGTGCAAAAGTGTAAAGAGGTTCTCTTTTTTTAGTTTTTTTTTCTTGTTAGTTCTTTTAGTGCTACACTCAAATATACCTTTACGACTTAAATTGTGTTTAATAATTCTTGACTACAATAAGCTCTTCGTAAAACGTAAGTAACATTTACAGTAGTTTACAATTGTTCACGTTCGGTGATCGTCGATCGTAATGTGTCTATTACATAGGTACACATTATAATTTCTTAATCCCTCTGTTAATTTCGCCCTTCAGTGCTGGAATTGAATCTTGATAAAATTCACAGTACTAATGCGAAAGCCCCTTCCCCTCTCGTCAGATCGAAAAATATGTTACTTTTTTTTATTTAAACCATCCCTCGCACGAAATAATCAGACAAATGTCATGCTTCCCATCTATGAATAGCTCCTTAATTCACTAGAAAACTCGATTCAATCCCAGCACTCACAATATTTCGCCTACGTACAGAAATAAGGATTCATTTCGATTTTTCATTAAAAATGTTTCAGGTTAACCACTCGTTCTCGTAGATCACACAAGTAAAAATGATAATAAATATGAATAAATAAGCTTCAAATTTCATATTTTTAAATTAAACCTTTGGTAATTCCGTGGCCTCCTCCTCATCGAAAATTTTCTAAAGAGAAAAACAACAAAGAATGAGTAAACAAATTATCCATTGGACACACGTGTCATCTAGCCCCATCTCCTCACCCCGTTTCCTATTTATAAATCTACACTCGAGCTCATTGTGTCCCTCCGTAAACTCAATTTTATTCTCCTCTGAAATCATTTCCAGCGACGACAAAATTATAAAAAAGTTCACATGCATTCCCTGCATCCCCACCCTTTTTGTCCGTACGATGATTCTCGTCATATAATAAATATAATAATGTATACTTGGTTTGCATTTGTAATTTACATTATTTCCTCTCGTTATTATGTTCACATTTTTTTTTGCTTTCTAAACATTTTTCTCTCATTAACTATTCGATACCTTATTGTCGTGCGAACTGTTATCTCTTGGTTTTTTTTACACTGTGATGCTGGAAAGGAGACCCAAACGAAAGAGGATGATCTCATGCATCTACCTGTTCTTGAGAAATAATTATCCTTATTTCGCCTCTTTGAATTGTAGAAAATTTCTATCCCTGTTGTCGTTAATCAAAGTAATTCAGAGGTGACAAGTACAACATTCCTACGAATAATGAAACACTGAATTATCATGTTTTCTCTTCCACCAAAAATAATTAATTGTACATCTCTCATAATTATTCATCTCAAATCTAGAAATTTTCATGACTCGTCTCTGCTATTCAATTTTCCCATGACTTCAATTGAAAACTGTATTGTACGTCGTCATAACTCCCTAAATCCTTCGGATATGTGTTTCAAATACGAATATAAATATATCATTTTGCTCTCTGTTAACTCTTCCTCACAGCTATCATGATTCCAGTGAAACAAATTACTTACCGAGAATTTGATTAACACTTTAGCCTGATTATTGAATTGTGCGTGAAATAGAATACCACAAAAACCAAATAATCGTCTCGGTTCTGAAATTTCCTTGCGATTTAATCATCATTTACCAATCAATATTCTGTCAGATTGATCTATCATTTCTCTTTACATAATTGCATATAAAACACACGTACACACACGAATCATAAATGGAAATGCATTTATTTTTCCAACTGAAATCATTCTATTTCCGCAGTAAACATCTTGTCACCATAGTTCACCTTATTTTTCAATTGATAATTATTCTGTTAATTTTTACCTCTGATTCTTTTTATTCTGTAATATATAAATATATTGTTTAAATTTTTTCTCGTTATTACAACTGAAACAAGGTCTTTAATTAATTGATCCTTTAATTAAACTTTGCCGTCCCCTTTCTGTTTCACGAAGGGCCACAGGGCGTCGATGACACCGAGGGGAGAAATTCTACGTTTCACCCCCTTGTTCTTTCTCTCTGTCTCTGCCCTCAAAACGCCCTCTCGCCCTTCTGTTCATGTTTATACTCATAGAATATAATATATTATTCATTTATATTCATTACATTATCATTATCATTAATATATTACTATGTGTTGGGTTTTTTCCTTACTTTGTTGTCACTTATTAACTGCGTTACCTAAGTGTGTCATTTCTGTTATTTTTTTCCCCCTTGAAAATCTTCATACCTCATATGTTCACACAATTTAAATCCCTCCTACAGTGTTTTTTCTTTCTCGTCTACCTACAATTTGTTCATCACCACAATTTCTCTCGTAATTATTTTCTTCTCCAATTTTAACAAAAAAAAATCTCGTGTTCAATCATCAATATATTAATAATAATTTTTGTTAAAATCGATAATAGCAATAATTAATAATAAATTCTTCATCTCAACTAATTTATGTACAGAAGTATAATACAAGTACACGAGTGCCGTGATTTTCATCATTTTCAATAATTCTCTTCCATTCATAATTTATTTATTTCCTTCTGTTGAATATAAAAGAGGGGGATTTTCCGATCGAACACGTGTACGTGAGATTTTTTTTTAATGTAACTGACACAAGGCAGCGGTCATTCTTCCCATATTATTCTCAACACCCAGGGGATGTGAGTCATCGAACGAATGCTGGTGGCCAATTTCTCTAAGTAAATCAATTGATTCTGCATTCAGTTACGCTCATTTTTATGCAAATGAAGCTGAAACAGCCGTTGCAACTGTTTCACGACTTCAAGAGTTCCCCAGTGGTCGAGACCCATGGGAATCAGTATAATCACCGTGTTTGAATGGTCAAGTTATCACAATCCCCTCAGAAAAGAAAAGCGAAAAAATTTCTCCTACGAGTAAAATTCGAACACGCCATTGACAAAAACAATCCATGTTTTCCTATTAAACATTCTCCAAGTATAATCTAAAAAATTCAACGAATAATCATTCGTTCAATCACCTCATTTAACCCCAATATTACAATAATATATGTTTACTTTGTACTATATATGATCTTAATCAGGCGATCGAAGCCATGTCTCTATTATTTCACTTTTGGTACGATGAATTGAACTTTCTCTCTCTCTCTCACTCCACAAAAAAAATTATCCTCTTTTGGTCTGATTTCATGAGTATTTCACATCTTCACATCGCACTAAAGAGCATCATCGATATTCACGGGATTTATAATGGCTGATGAAAAAAAATTCATCGAATATGCCCAAAGAAAATTCCAGCCATAAATTATCCAGAGCACCTCTTTCTGCAGGAAAAAAAAATCTACTTGAACGTGAATGAAGATCAAAGTGAGACATTAACTGGAAATTGAGAGTTTCAAATTGACAAAGATTGATCGACAGGTGGTTCTCTCACAATTGACCGTAGCATTATCGACAATTACAGGTAATACCGGAGCAGAATGGAATTAATCCAGTGAAAATCGATGTGTCGAACAAGAGATTTGTTTATTCATCACCTCACTCTCTCACACTATTATCATTACTCTACTCAACAACAAACGGCGCTCGTATCATTTATCGACCTTTTCGCTTGCTAATGATCCCCTGAAAAGTCCTCAGCTTCTCGAAAAAAAAAAACATTTCACCTATCTTTATATACAAATAAACATCAGCATCGTTAAAGCACTGATGCTGAGTGGATGGTCTCCCTCGATTATCACTCATCATAGCACATCACGACCCAATATTCCTTCATTAACTTCCATAATTCTCCAGCTCCTCCCAATAATCCCCTCATCAGCGTTCACATTGATAAATTATCACTTTGTACAGACACTCCGCACAGAAAAAGAAAAACACGTGTGGCTTTTTATCAATTTGTTCAGCAGCCACTAGTCCTGTTGTTCACCAACCCCGAGGAATTGACGAGTCACTTATTAGTTCATTATTTTCGTTGAAACCTTCTCCTGCTACCCATCACAAGATAAATCATGATCAACTCAAAATTCTCGGAAAAATAATAACAAATTACGGATAACGGAGGGTGGGGGCAAGAAAAAAAAACTTCATCACTATTGCTTTTCAAACAATCTTGAAAACAATATAAACATTAATTAACCGTAATTTTGACTAGACAATGTTCACCACTATGTGCAAAAGAACATTACAAATGTAATTTAATAATTCGACTAGAGGATCAACCATAAAATGATTAATAAAAATAAACATTTCAACAGCTTAACCTAAACGTGGCGAATTATGGCACTAACCAAAGAGAGATATTAATGTGTTTGAAATAATATATCTCGAGTAAGTAGTAGTACCGCCGATGCCGTCAGACAGTTAAAACCCCAGTGCATTCACGAGTGACACAGTTCCAATGGCAGTCTCCACTGAATATTATTCCCCATGAACATAAAAAAAAGAAAAATTATTATTCACATTCAGCTGCCACTCTATTTTGTTTAAATATGTCAGACTAACATTGTATCCTTGAAATGGTGAATAAAAATTGGAATGCACTTCGTACCGTGTGCCTGATATCGATCGGCGTCGAATTGAGAAAAAAAAGAAAACAATGGAAATGAGAGGGAGGGCATCGGCGTGCAGTTTCCCGAGTGTTCAACGAAATAATTTACGAGAAGGCAAGATCCTCCTCGGGCGACTCGTCGTGATATTCCTCGTGGTCAGACGTATGTCACAAAACATCGGTCGCCTGGCGTGGACTTATACCGAGGCTGGGCGATAGGTGGCCCTCGTCCACACCTGGATTCTTCGGGTCCTCGTCTTTCCATTTGTCCATTGAACGACGTCTCGCGTTCATGAAGAAATTACCAACTGTCGTGGGCTCAAGGCCCAACTGCCTGGCGATTGTCACCTGCATCTCCTTCGACGGCCTCTTTGTTTCCTGAAAATTTGAGGACGTTGTGAATTATTGGAGTGGTTAGAGTTGTTGAGGAGAGCAGGAGTTCGCTGAGAGAAAAACGAACAAGTTCCCAAACAAGTCTTGTTTGGGCCAACAAAATCGTTAGTTGAAAATAACCAAAAAAATAATTGATTTTTCTCTCTAAATTCTTATTCTCTTTGAATTGATTTAATGCCTAAAGGTGGTTAGGCGGTGTTGGGAGACGAATTTGGAGAGAGAATTTCCGTAGTTCCCGGTAGCTAAGCTGGGAGAGTCCCCGGCGTAATCCTCGGCGTAGGAACAACTAAAGATAACCACCGACCTATTCCCTCTAAAAAATAATAAGTCTGACTTTCTGTAGTATTAAGTTGGTAAATAGTGTACATAATTAATTTATTTAGGCTAAGTTCAACACCAGACAAACAATCAGTGGTTTTCCCTCAGCTGCACCTGTTCCATTGATCCCCCAAACATGGCCAATGAGCCGAATGACAACAAGCATTTGTGATACCATCATACCCCATCAATTACAAACTTTCGAGAAGCTGTAAAACTGCCAACTAAGCTATGATTTCTGTTCTTTTCGGTGTATTTTTTTAGTCGTAGATTCAACACCATTATATAATATATGTATCGGTACTGAATAAACGTTATAAAAAAAAAGGAGAGTGCCCGGCGTGTAACTGGAAGACCCGGGTTCGAATCCCGGCTGGGCAGTGCGGGATTTTTTCTCTCTAAATTCCAATTCTCTTCGGTTTTTTTGGAATTTGGAAGTCTCAAACATGAATAATTGCTCTGCTTTCAACAATAGCGAAATATTTGGCTCGAGAGGCGGATACTTCATACAAGACGGTCCCTTTTCGAGATAAACATATCTTTTGTCTCTATAGAGGAAAGTTTATCAAGAAATATTTTGTCATAATGTTACAAGATTGCTGTCATATCGTTATTATTTTATTTTAGAAAACATTTCTTTCTGGGATTATTGAATAGCCGAAATGACAAACTACTATCCCTTGTTTTATATATAAAACGCGCATTTGTCGGGAGCAAAATACGTATGGGAGCAGCGAATAACGAAAAAGTAGTGCTAGAAATTACATTTCTTGTTTGCACAGAGAATACAAATTTTTTCAAAAGACTGAATCTATTTTTGCAATAACAATTTTCAAACTCGGTTCACGCTTCGCATATCTGGCACAAAAAAGTCCTTTTCTGATCATTTTTAACAAACGATTTTCTTGCCACAGGTAAGACTTGCTCAAGAACTTTTCTGTTTTTCTCTCGAAGTATGATAATATTACACAGGGGAAAAAATCAAGGTATGGTATCTCTGATGTTCACGCGGATACGTATGCTTACACGGAGAGAAATATTGGATAAAAATTAGCTCGAAAATCGTGACAAATTTTACTATACGAATGGCAATCGTGACAAGACGAAATGTAATTCAGTGAAAAAATACTGGTGTCTAGTGGATATCTTACGATTTTCTCGGTAAAAAAATACATCTATAGATGCAAAAATCATCCTCCTGTTTCGTGAAATTTCCCACACCAACAGAGGATTGTTTGTTTTGTACCCGTCTGAAGGTCATGGACGGACGGAAGTGAATTTTTACCAAACGGATTCGGTAAAATTCATTCTCCGTTACAGAAAAATTATGCGAAAAATTGGAGCAATTATTCACGTTCACAGGGATAATTTTTCATGGGATACTGGGTAAATTTTACAATTTCGGTACAAATCACCCTCACGTTTAGTAAATTTTCCCCGGCCAACGGAGTAAAATTCACTGTTAATCTCGCACTTCTTCTCCTATTTAAGGTGAAGAAGTACTGTCAATCGAGGTTGCTCCACGATTAGTTGACTTGTTTCGTAATTTTTCTCCAACTTTTATCTCCGTGTAGGAATTAGGATGTCGACGAGGATTTTCTATAATTTCCCTAGTGCATAATCTTTAGTTCCTGATTCAAGTAGTACAGCTTGATGATTGTACAATATGATTATTAAGAACAATCGATTCAATGGACGTTAATTATCAATTGTTGGCATTTTCAAATATCGCTGGAAGGTCGAATGACGGTTTTTATGCAATTCTCATGCTTTTGGAATCGATTTGGTCATTCGGATTAGGACAATTCGTTTGAGGGAATTAATTGTGTAATATGTGTCATTATATTCAAAGAAAAACTGGAGATTATACTTCGAAAACGAAAAAAATACCCCAGTTACGTTGAAATCCCATAAGAACTGTAGTTTAAAAAAAAGTTTATGGAAAAAATTTCGAACATTATTGTACTATCTCAATAAACTCCAGTTAATTTCTAATGAATTGATGATTTTCAATTCCTTTACATTCAACCGAACTTGATGACTCTCAATCAAGTGTAATTAATCGCTGCAATCTGTTAATTGATAGAAAAAAAGTGACATTTCTCGATAAGATCTTCATTTCCTGATTCAAGTAGTACAGCTTGATGATTGTACGCCATGATTATTGAAAACAATCGATTAAATCGACGTTAATTATCAATTATTGGCGTCTTCAAATATTGTTGAAGGGACGAATGACGGTTTTGATGCAATTCTCATGCTTTTGGAATCGATTCGGTCATTCGGATTAGATCAATTCATTTGAGGGAATTGATTGTGTAATATGTGTCATTATATTCAAAATAAAACTGGAGATTATACTTCGAAAGCGAAAAAACTGCCCCAGTTACGTTGAAATCCCATTAGAACTGTAGTTTAAAAAAAAAGTTTATGGAAAAAATTTCGAACATTATTGTACTATCTCAATAAACTCCAGTTAATTTCCAATGAATTGATGATTTTCAATTCCTTTACATTCAACCGAACTTGATGAGTCTCCATCAAGTGAAATTAATCGCTGGAATCTGTTAATTGATAGAAAAAAAGTGACATTTCTCGATGATCTTCATTTCCTGATTCAAGTAGTACAGCTTGATGATTGTACGCCATGATTATTGAAAACAATCGATTAAATCGACGTTAATTATCAATTATTGGCGTCTTCAAATATTGTTGAAGGGACGAATGACGGTTTTGATGCAATTCTCATGCTTTTGGAATCGATTCGGTCATTCGGATTAGATCAATTCATTTGAGGGAATTGATTGTGTAATATGTGTCATTATATTCAAAATAAAACTGGAGATTATACTTCGAAAGCGAAAAAACTGCCCCAGTTACGTTGAAATCCCATTAGAACTGTAGTTTAAAAAAAAAGTTTATGGAAAAAATTTCGAACATTATTGTACTATCTCAATAAACTCCAGTTAATTTCCAATGAATTGATGATTTTCAATTCCTTTACATTCAACCGAACTTGATGACTCTCAATCAAGTGTAATTAATCGCTGCAATCTGTTAATTGATAGAAAAAAAGTGACATTTCTCGATAAGATCTTCATTTCCTGATTCAAGTAGTACAGCTTGATGATTGTACGCCATTATTATTGAAAACAATCGATTAAATCGACGTTAATTATCAATTATTGGCGTCTTCAAATATTGTTGAAGGGACGAATGACGGTTTTGATGCAATTCTCATGCTTTTGGAATCGATTCGGTCATTCGGATTAGATCAATTCATTTGAGGGAATTGATTGTGTAATATGTGTCATTATATTCAAAATAAAACTGGAGATTATACTTCGAAAGCGAAAAAACTGCCCCAGTTACGTTGAAATCCCATTAGAACTGTAGTTTAAAAAAAAAGTTTATGGAAAAAATTTCGAACATTATTGTACTATCCCAATAAACTCCAGTTAATTTCCAATGAATTGATGATTTTCAATTCCTTTACATTCAACCGAACTTGATGAGTCTCCATCAAGTGAAATTAATCGCTGGAATCTGTTAATTGATAGAAAAAAAGTGACATTTCTCGATGATCTTCATTTCCTGATTCAAGTAGTACAGCTTGATGATTGTACGCCATGATTATTGAAAACAATCGATTAAATCGACGTTAATTATCAATTATTGGCGTCTTCAAATATTGTTGAAGGGACGAATGACGGTTTTGATGCAATTCTCATGCTTTTGGAATCGATTCGGTCATTCGGATTAGATCAATTCATTTGAGGGAATTGATTGTGTAATATGTGTCATTATGTTCAAAGAAAAACTGGAGATTATACTTCGAAAACGGAAAAAATACCCCAGTTACGTTGAAATCCCATAAGAACTGTAGTTTAAAAAAAAAGTTTATGGAAAAAATTTCGAACATTATTGTACTATCTCAATAAACTCCAGTTAATTTCCAATGAATTGATGATTTTCAATTCCTTTACATTCAACCGAACTTGATGACTCTCAATCAAGTGTAATTAATCGCTGCAATCTGTTAATTGATAGAAAAAAAGTGACATTTCTCGATAAGATCTTCATTTCCTGATTCAAGTAGTACAGCTTGATGATTGTACGCCATGATTATTGAAAACAATCGATTAAATCGACGTTAATTATCAATTATTGGCGTCTTCAAATATTGTTGAAGGGACGAATGACGGTTTTGATGCAATTCTCATGCTTTTGGAATCGATTCGGTCATTCGGATTAGATCAATTCATTTGAGGGAATTGATTGTGTAATATGTGTCATTATATTCAAAATAAAACTGGAGATTATACTTCGAAAGCGAAAAAACTGCCCCAGTTACGTTGAAATCCCATTAGAACTGTAGTTTAAAAAAAAAGTTTATGGAAAAAATTTCGAACATTATTGTACTATCTCAATAAACTCCAGTTAATTTCCAATGAATTGATGATTTTCAATTCCTTTACATTCAACCGAACTTGATGAGTCTCCATCAAGTGAAATTAATCGCTGGAATCTGTTAATTGATAGAAAAAAAGTGACATTTCTCGATGATCTTCATTTCCTGATTCAAGTAGTACAGCTTGATGATTGTACGCCATGATTATTGAAAACAATCGATTAAATCGACGTTAATTATCAATTATTGGCGTCTTCAAATATTGTTGAAGGGACGAATGACGGTTTTGATGCAATTCTCATGCTTTTGGAATCGATTCGGTCATTCGGATTAGATCAATTCATTTGAGGGAATTGATTGTGTAATATGTGTCATTATATTCAAAATCAAACTGGAGATTATACTTCGAAAGCGAAAAAACTACCCCAGTTACGTTGAAATCCCATAAGAACTGTAGTTTAAAAAAAAGTTTATGGAAAAAATTTCGAACATTATTGTACTATCTCAATAAACTCCAGTTAATTTCTAATGAATTGATGATTTTCAATTCCTTTACATTCAACCGAACTTGATGACTCTCAATCAAGTGTAATTAATTGCTGCAATCTGTTAATTGATAGAAAAAAAGTGACATTTCTCGATAAGATCTTCATTTCCTGATTCAAGTAGTACAGCTTGATGATTGTACGCCATGATTATTGAAAACAATCGATTAAATCGACGTTAATTATCAATTATTGGCGTCTTCAAATATTGTTGAAGGGACGAATGACGGTTTTGATGCAATTCTCATGCTTTTGGAATCGATTCGGTCATTCGGATTAGATCAATTCATTTGAGGGAATTGATTGTGTAATATGTGTCATTATATTCAAAATCAAACTGGAGATTATACTTCGAAAGCGAAAAAACTACCCCAGTTACGTTGAAATCCCATAAGAACTGTAGTTTAAAAAAAACGTTTATGGAAAAGATTTTGAACATTATTGTACTATCTCAATAAACTCCAATTAATTTCCAATGAATTGATGATTTTCAATTCCTTTACATTCAACCGAACTTGATGAGTCTCCATCAAGTGAAATTAATCGCTGGAATCTGTTAATTGATAGAAAAAAAGTGACATTTCTCGATGATCTTCATTTCCTGATTCAAGTAGTACAGCTTGATGATTGTAC